CACCCACACCGCACCCACACCGCACCCACACCGCACCCACACCACACCCACACCACACCCACACCACACCCACACCACACCCACACCACACCCACACCACACCCACACCACACCCGCACCACACCCGCACCACACCCGCACCACACCCGCGCCACACCCGCACCACACCCGCACCACACCCACACCACACCCACACCACACCCACACCCACACCCACACCCACACCCACACCCACACCCACACCCACACCCACACCCACACCCACACCCACACCCACAAACACACACACACACACACACACACACACACACACACACACACACACACACACACACACACACACACACACACACACACACACACACACACACACACACACACACACACACACACACACCCACCACGCACACGCACACGCACCACGCACACGCACACGCACACGCACACGCACACGCACACGCACACGCACACGCACACGCACACGCACACGCACACGCACACGGCAGCGCGCGCACGCGCCGCGCGCGCGAGGCGCACGCGCGCCGGCTCGCGCGCCGCGCGCCGCGGGCACGCGGCACGCGCGCACGCGGCCCACGCGCCACGCTCCCCCCACGCACACACAAACACCCCAAACACACAACCACCCAACCACCACCCCCACCCCCCCACACCCCACCCCAACCCCCCCCCCCCACCCAACCAACCACCACCCCCAGACCCCCCCCCACCCCACCCCCCCACCACCACCCCCCCCCCACCCCCACACCCCCCACCCACCAACACCCCACACACCCCCCCCCCCACCCCACCCCCAGCCAACACGCAACCAACACCACAACACCCCCCCCACCCTACCCCACACCAACACACCAACACACCAACACACCAACACACCAACACACAAACACACAAACACACAAACACACAAACACACAAACACACAAACACACAAACACACAAACACACAAACACACAACACACACACACAACCACACACACAACCACACACACAACCACACACACACAACCACACACACAACCACACACACACACACACACAACCACACACAACCACACACACACACACCACAACCACACACACCACAACCACACACACACCACAACCACACACACACACACAACTGTTTGATGTTCACACATGGCAGCTTTTGTGGGAAGCCGCGCGCTGCAATGTGAGGAGGGCCCAAAAGCACGGCCAAAGCAAACTAGGCATCCCAACATGCCCCTTGGCCTCCTTCAGAAGTGTCCAAGGAGCAGGCCGACCTTGTACGGCATCCGCCAATCAGCTGCCATTTCTCCCCCGCAAATCATGCGCATCGAATTGAGCTAAGGGGTGTTGGAGTCTGAGTCGAAAAGGATGAGTCAATCCGCACGCCTCAAAACTGGAATCGAAAGGAGGCCTTTGGATGGCGTTTTCCCTTTTGTGGTTGGACGACTCGAAGGTACCTGGCGACCCCTATAAACGTCACATGAAGTGCGGCACCCCAGTTTTTGTTTGGTGGGTTCCTCACTTCGCAAATTATCTTTCAGGCACCAGTTTCTCCATTCGTTTGGTGGGTTCCTGATTCCCTTTGCTCCCATGGCCACTGAACTGGATGACCCGAAAGCGACGACCAGGACTTGATCAGCTTTAACACGGCCACGTCGGCGTGTGAGCGCGCGGGCAGGAACTTGGCCATGCAGCCGTTGCTGAATTCGCTGCCCAGAAGGCTTCTACAGCTTCTGCACCCCTGAATGGCTCAGTTTGCACACTGAGCTTTCTTTTTCGGAGTTTACACTTGCCGCGAGCTGAGGATAGCTTCTAATTTAATAACTGTGGCTTGCGATTAAAGGGGACGGACCTGAAGTGGCAGCTTGTTTTTTCTACTTCACCATGCAAGCAAAGGGAATGGTGGACCTTCACCTTATGGATGCTCGATTGCATCCAAAACGGAGTAGGCAGAATGCATGAGCCCTGCACACATCATGAGTTCGTTGGAGGCTTAAGTTAAAGGGATCCCTTATTTCTAGATGAGATCCAGACCGCAAAGCAGAACAAAAGCCCCGCATAGGATGTGGGTTGGAACCATTCCCACTACACTCTGACACACATCATGAGCTCGTTGGAGGCTGAAGTCAAGGGATCCTTCATTGCTGGGACGAGATTCATCCAGGAAAGACTGCGAAAACCCCTGACTTGGAGGGGGGGGGGTTGAACCAACCTCAGATGGTACAACAGCTGTGGTGACAGTCCAGCGTGGCGCGTTATGGGCAGCCAGCCACAGCCGTTTGCCACGCCGAAATTGTTTGTTGGTTCTGTTGTTTGCTAAACGCACACAAGCAACTGCAGGGGCACAATCCAGGGGTGCAGGCAGAGTTGGGCAATGTGTTTGTAAACATGCAAGCCTGAATGGTTCCATTTGAAGGGAAGCCGATGTGTTCAGACGAACTGCATCTTAAAAGAGCTGGGCCCAACCCTGATTGCATGGGAGGAATTTGCGACCTTCCAGCGAAGGCCCGGAAAAGCGGCATCGCGCATTGCTGTGGCCCGTGTTGAAGCATGAGCAAAGAGACACTGTTCCAAGGTCTTTGGTATGACACCGCTTGGACAATGACTCAGCGGAGTATCAATGGGGCAAAGTGTGCCGAAGTAGTCCAGGTAGCCGTGATTCTCCAGTTGGCGTATTCAGTGTTTGAGACAAACCCTGGGACCGGATGAATTCGGATGATTCTGGCAATCAGGGGAACCTGTGAGAATGCCCTAATCGCATTGATTTGGATTGTTGTTATTGGCCTGGGCCGATCGCCGTTAGCAGCATCACAGACACACACACACACACACACACACACACAGGTGCTTTGCCGATTGAGAATGCAATCGGCTTCTTTTTGTGCCTTAGCACTTCATGTCTGGGTCCTTCTGTGGAGTACTTTATTGAACATGATTGGGTCCGCAAAGCACGCGATTCCTTTCGGTGGCATGCCAAACTGAATCAGGTTGAGGCACCATCCTGGTTCATGCATGACGTTTACGCTTCAGCTTCCTTGGCCGCTTGGATCGAGCTCCCGACATCAGGAGGCACTTGACTTACCCCGTGAGAAGCAACCCTGACTTCTCCAAAGTTGGCCCAAACTTGACTCGTGGTTCCCGACTTCTTTTCGAGGATGCGTCCGAAGGCGAACCCAGGCAATCTCTAGTCCTTGGGCAGGGAGAGGCGATTTGCTGGTGAACACAAGTGCATCTTTGAAGCTGCCTAGCTTTTAGCAAGCTCACCTGGAGCAAACGAGCTTACTCATGAAGCACAGAGTTGCAGCGCGTATCGTGCACTTCTGGGGCATTCATCACATCTCACCAGCGCCCGGCGAATCGAATCGCAGCTTCTGAACGTGTGAAACCGGTGTTGGGCTTTTATACAACCCCCCCAAAAAAAATCAAATAACAAAAACAAAAACATCGGGTTCAAGGTGCAGATAGAACCGAGACGGTGTCATATCCGTTGCACCTAGCGGGATGGGAACGCCAGAGTAGACCCTTTGCTGTAAAAATCGGTGGCCAGTTCTGGAAAACGTGGGAGATCCGTACGAGCTGGTTCCGTTGCGAACCACAGGTGTCCACCAACCAAATGTTTGACTCTTGATTGTCAGACTCCAGCTTCCAGCTGCGCTCCCACTCTCAGATATCGCGCCAAGCGTTGCAAGCAGCAAGCCGTGTTGCGCGCCATGGCTGCGAAGGTTTGACTGACCTCAGGACTCTGTGGATCGATTCCTGTTCGATCTAAACCCATCCGGTTCAGAAAGTCAACCATCGGACCATCGGAGCTTCGAGCCTCACCAAACCTCAAGGGAAGAGAGGCGCTCGCTTTCCCGCCGGCTGCCCGGATCGGGTTCGCATCCGCCTCCGCTTCCGCGCAGTGGGAGGAGTTGCGAAGGATGGCATGGCGATGGACTCGCCGGTGGCCTGGCAGAGCTCGCTGAAAGGGAACCAAGAGGACAAGACAAGGGCCCGATCTTGGGTAAGCAACAAAAGGGAACCAAAGAAGGAAGCCACCATTCGTGTTGTTGTTTTTTTTGTTCCCTGAGTTTGAGGCATAAACGCCCAATACACAGCTTGAGCATTCAAGTTGGGCAGGGCAGCTGGCTGGACCCCCACAGGAAATGTGTTAGTTGCTCCTACGCTTGCTTTTGCATAAGACGTTTTTTTTTTGTTGTCTACGTTTCAGGGTGGGACCCACTCATTGATCTTTGAGGTCATCACACGGCCAGCGATACACAGTGCCAGGATCACCAGGCTGGAAGTCACCCAGGAGTTTTGGCAAGATGGTTACACTCTAAGCGTCTAAGCTGGCATAGTACTTCCCCTGTGTATTTGGAAGCACTGACAAGCTACCCAGTCGACGAGAGTCTGGAAGAGGTTGGGGACGGGGGAATTTCTTTAGCGGTATCGTCACCTCCCGCATGGCTCCATGATCGCGGGGTCCTTGGGCAACTGATCGTTTTGGAGCAACCTTCGGAGATGTGGGAATGTGGGAAGTACATCTTCGGCAGGTGCTCTGGTACTATGGCTTTTGTCTCCATGTTCCGATAGCAAGCTGGAACTGAAGGGCGGGGGGGTTTCCATTTTGCGGAGGGGTCCACACAGTGGGAGTGTCCAAAAGGGGTTGTTCCATTTCACCTCTTGAACAGGCCCTAAAAACAACAGGGTAGAAAAGGACACTCCCAGACCATCATAATATGTAACATAGGTGTGTTCAGGAGGTTTGTTCTCATGGACTAGGATTGGAGATCCCCTTGAACTTCTTGAACCCAGATCCCCGAGTCCCACTCCCTCACCCCTTTCGCTTTGAGGCCTCAGTGGCAGGCTTCGGCCAACGCATCGCCGCCAGCCAGAAGGCTTTCTTTTTTGGGCACGTGTTTTGTTTTGTAAAAAACATGCCCCATGCAGTAGTAGCCCAATCTGGTGTTAGCAAGAACCACCGGCGGGCAAGTGGGTTTTCCAGCGTGCAATATTTGCACGCAGCCTCCTAAACCTTACCCCTCCCCTGCCCGCCGGCAAATTCCCGTTGTCTGGGGAGCACCTGTCTTAGAAGGGGAGGGCCTCATCTTGCTCCGCCCATCCGACCTGTCAAGTTGTTTAGGAACCTGGGAAGGACGACGTTCATTGGCCACAGGACAAGAAGATATGTGTTCAGTTCCGAGACAGCTACGCTCCCCTCCGTTCACTAATTGATGCTTTGCACGTCACCGCTTCTCCTTGACCTATGGGATCTCATGGGTGGTCACCGCAGTCGGGGGGGCGCCCTCTTTCTCAGTTTATTCTGAAAGGTTAACAGTTAGCAAGGGTTCGTAAGCATCCCCAACTCCGGCAGCTGAGATGGCGTGCGATTCCCGACGGCCCTTCTCGCTTCTCCCTTAGGTTTCGAGACGATCAGTTTGCAGAAGAACATGCATAGGTAATTACCTGTTGCAGCTTACGTGCTGTTTTTCATCAGTCGACGGAGCGACACAAGTGTGACAGGGGCGAGCAGTTGAGGAACCTGTATTCGCGGAAGGGTTGGATGTATGACCTCGGTCATAAAAAAGGTTGCTTGCGTATCCCCCCAAATTTGGGTTGGCGTTTCGCTTTGTTTACCTCAGATGGGCTTGCTGCAACATGTGATTGAACAGTCAGGCCTTTGAACCATGGTGGTGCACACATGATCATGGCATATCATGACAGAAAGGCATATTTCAAGTTTCCCACAACCACGATGCTTTTCCCAGGTGAGATGACCATTACCCTGCCTTTTCCTTTGCTATGCTGTGAACCAGCCGTGCCACAGTAGCCGTCTGGCTTTCTATTGGTGGTCTATTTGTTAAGCAAGACTCTGAAAGGTAAAGTGGTTAAGCGTTGCGTTTGGATCCGTTGGGCAAGGAATCCATGGTTTCCCCCTGGCCTTGTGGAATTTGAGTTCAATTTCCCACAGGCGGCAATTCGGCGCCTAAGGGCCCATTTGTTTGGTCGCCCCGCAAGGCAAGCTTCACCCAACTCCCTCCCCGCCAAAACGGGGAAATCAGGCCCCCCCTGTTTGGATCTTCAACCAATTACTTGTCAACCAACGAACCCGCTTTCAACAGTACCAAGTGGTTTGAACATCCACCCTATGCGCGCCGTTATCGTCCCTGGAACCTCCTGATTGCGAAAGCTCGGAGGCGGGGCAATGGAGGGAGGCGACCTGGTGGCTGCAGAGCATGGTGCGCAAGCAGCTGGCGCCCAATGACGTGGCCTGCAATATGGCCCGCGGGGATCACTCACACGGCTTCGTTGATTTGCCAGCTTGCCCTTGGGTTTGTGGTTGTCCACTATGTCACTTGGCCAAAGCTTGGTCCATTTAATTGTCAAGGTCCCAGAATGCAAAGCTTTAAAAGAAGAAGTCCAACTCCTCTTGGCAGGTGGGTTGCTTGGCTGCTGTTTGATGGACATTGTCCTTTGGGCAAAAGAACTTCTTCCCAGAAATTAGCAATGACATAGATAAGTGTGTCTGGCCGGGACAAGTTGTTTCATTTTTGACCAGCCAACGCTTAGATCGCTTGCAGAGCTTCCACATAAGCACGTGGCATTTGGACGAGCAACTGCTTATATAAGTGAGGGATCCCAAATTTCTTGGATTCTTTGGTGAGCACCTCCCCGTTGAAAAGTTTTCCTTTTCGGAAGCTCCGAAAGGCAGTTTCAATGGGCACCACCAGTAAATTGATCAACTTGAGGGAGGTGAGGCTTGGGGTGGGATCCTTCGAACTTCAACAGCCCACGCAACTCGCAGGGCGGCCGGGAGGTGGTTGGATCGAACGGCGAGTGTAGCTTGATTCAGGTGGGTGGGTGAAGGGAGCTTCTGTCTAGCAAGCAAGAAGATCAATAGACCTGGCGGAAAATGTCCCTTCAACTGGCATGCCCCGTTTTTATCCCACACTTTAACTTGGAGAGCCTTTCTTTACAGTGCAGAAACCCGTCGAGGAATATGATCCTCTTTATTTCCTGTGAGCGACGTGCCCTTGAAAAACAAATCTACCAAAGAAGCAAACGCCCTTTGCTCCAGCAGAAATACCGCTGGCATGGACGAAATCCTGCACCACCGCAGAATCTCTGGAACGATTCCCCTGCAAATACTGACGACAACAGGTTCTCCTGATTTCAATCTGGTGCAACTTTTTGCCAACTACTGGGTTTTCCGTATTAAACCACTAAAAATTAGTCACTTTTAGCCGGGCTTCGCAGCTTTCGCCACCGAGATTTCGTCCATCCACACCGCTGGATGGCCAGCCCCCCGCAGGTCATCAACACCCTGGCGAAGCGCGGCCAGTGGCAGCGCGCGCTGGCGCTCCTGGTGCAGATGCCACAGATGCAGGCCGCGCGAATCGTTTGTCCCCACTCCCCAAGGAGACTCTACCCCTATTTCACTCCATATGTGCACTGAAGTATTCATATTACCCAGATAGAACACACACACACACTTGTATCTTTATTTGAAAATATATTTGAAGACGATATGTGGTAGCATGCATAGCTACGCATCCACAAGTATCGTATTACAGACAGCGATGTCCGCCTCCTGGCGATCTCGCCCTGTGCTGGCCGGATTGTTTTGCCACCTGCCGCTACACGTTGCCTCATACATGCTTTGCTGTTTGTAGCTTGGCATTTCGACGTTGCTGGTGTGTCCTGCTGGGCTGGTTTGCATCTTGCCGGAACGCATGCCCGGATGCATGCTTTTCCGTGGGCTAAGATTTTGCAATTTCGAGGTGTTTGGTTGACAAGCGTCGCGGGCGCAGGGCGGGGGATATCTGCGAAGAGGACTTGGTTAATACTGCGGATGGACAAAATATTGTACCAGTTGGGAAGGACGAAAGCCGTGATTCCATAAGCTACCTACCAACTGGTGCAGGACTTTGTCCATCCACAGTCGCAGACAGGTGAAAAGGCAGCATTGGCACTTCTGGCAAGCGGTGCCAGCCTTCAGTCCGCCTTCTCTCAAGTTCCTTTCCCGACTGCTTCCTAGGACTGTGATGAGATGTTGATCTTGTTTGCCTAGGGGCTCCACTGCCACCCGGAGTTCCCCTCCAAACGCTCCCGGTTTCGAGCTCTTCTTTGGGGCCCATCGCGTGGATCAATCCGTCGGCTTGCGCCGTGCGCGCGGGCCGCGCGGGCGAGTGGCGAGGCGGCGCCGGACCCCATCAGCTACAGCAGCTCCTTGGGCGCCTGCGCAGCAGCGGGCCAGTGGGAGGCCGCCCTGGCGCTGCTCAAGGCCTCTGCGCTCTGACCGCATCGGCAACCGATGGCACTCCCGGTGGTTTGGCGCCCGGTGGTGTGGTGGTTTCCCATTTACCCTCTTACAAACACCAAGGGTTCAATTGGTGGTTTGGAGTGGTTTGAACCCTTGGTGTTTGTAGAGGGTAAATGGGAAACCGCTCCTTCACCACCAAACCACCAATCCAAACCAGCACTTGGAGCGAAACTGAGCAGGGGCCCGGATGGTTGCAAAACCACCTGCTTGAAAGGCAAACTAGGTCCCCCAGTAACATAGACAACAGAGAAAAAAAAAAAAAAAAACACTGGTACCCTTATTCTAACCTCTCTACTGGACGATGGCCATGTGGCATAACCTATGGCTCCATTTTGGGGTGGATGAACATCCATTTGTCACCTATTTTGATGCTCACCAGGGGTACAGGGTTACCCACAGCCAAATGAAAGCGGGGTGGTCCCAAGCAGATTCCTCTTCCATGGTTCTTTTCAGCCAGCCTCAGTGGCCGCGTGCGAGTCGCAGGCCATGCCGGAGCGCCACATGGCCCCGGACGTCGTGAGCTACAACTGTGCCATCAGCGCCTGCGCGAAGGAAGGCGCGTGCGAGTGCGCCGGGGGGGGGGGGAAGGTGGGGTGAGTGGGGGGGGGGTGGGGGGTTGGGGGGGGTGGGGGGTTGGGGGGGGGGGACCAGGGTTTTTTAGGTTTAGATCTGGTTTTGCAGTGGCTGGGTAAACAGCCCATAGGAAGCCACATGGGGAATCCGTGCTTCAGATTGGATAGCTTTGAAGGGAAACCAAAAAGAATCCAGCCAGCCGAATGGGGCCCCGAATTTGCTCGCAGCACCCGAAGGCGTGCGCTTGTGCTTGTTCAAACGTATTGCCTCTGAGTGGCCAAAAGGCAGTCAGTGCTCTTTTGGTGCGAAGTTGAAAAGGGGGATGCATTGACATGTCCACAGCGCACACTAAGCCACAATGTCATTTTGAATGGAAACCACAAGGATATTACGGTGGTTCTTCCCACAGCCCCTAGTTTAAAACACCCGTTTCAAGAGGCAGATGTCTGAGGTGCCAAGCAGCATAAGCAGCACACTGTCTTCCTGCAGGAAATTGCGAGGGGATGAATATGTGCTTTTTGTTCTAACACAAAAAGGTCAAATGGGCTTCATTTCCCAGGCAACAGCACCCCAAAAAGGGTGCCCTCTAAAAAGCCAAGGATCCCCATCACGCCGATGAAAACAACTCCAATCGAGGAGCTGTCTGGGTTTGGATCAACTTCCACATCACCTGAGGGAACAGAAAACCAGAGGTATACACTCCGGCTTGGAACTTGGCTCCAGCTCCCCATTTGGTTCAGGATTAGAATCATTCAGGGTTCATAGGAAACCCCTTCCCTTTAACGTTAGAATGTACACACATTCCGCTATCCTTTGCCTGGTTTCCTTGTGGTTTCCCTAAAAACGAATCAAACACAATTTGCCCCCTCAAAACAAAGCGCACACACACACACACAAAAAAAAACACACACAAAGCACACACTTTCTGCGAAGATCTACGGCTGCGGCTTCTTTGCGCCAGGCCCCTGGCGCGCGACGCTGCAACTCCTCGGAGATTTGAAGGCCCAGCGCCTGGTGGCAGACGTGGTGCTCTGCAACGCCGTCATCAGCGCCTGCAAGGCTGGGGGCTCGGATGGGCCCGGTGTAGGCGGCCTGAGGGGCGCGTGAGGAGGTGTGCACTTGTTTTTTTCCCCAACAGCTGAAAGCTAAGGGGTCTCAGCCCAGATAGGCTCCGGGGTGGTCCGGGGCGGCCCTGAGGTAAGGTTCCACCAGGGTTCCACCAGGGTTCCACCAGGGTTCCACCAGGGTTCCACCAGGGTTCCACGAGGTTCTGCAAGGGCTGCGCGGTGGTCCGGGGCGGGTTCCACCAGGGTTCCACCAGGGTTCCACCAAGGTTCTACCAGGGTTCCACGAAGTTCTGCAAGGGCTGTGGGGTGGTCCGGGGCGCGTTCCACCAGGGTTGCACCCAGGGGTTCCACCAGAGTTCTACCAGGGTTCCACGAGGTTCTGCAAGGGCTGCCGGGGCGGGTTCCACCAGAATTCCACCAGGGTTCCACCAGGGTTCCACCAAGGTTCCACCAGGGTTCCACAAAGTTCTGCAAGGGCTGTGGGGATGTCCGGGGCGGGTTCCACCAGGGTTGCACCAGGGGTTCCACCAGAGTTCTACCAGGTTCCACCAGGGTTCCACGAAGTTCTGCAAGGGCTGCGGCGGTGGCCCGGGGCAGCCTGAAGTAAGGTTCCACGAGTTCCACCAGGGTTCCACCAGGGTTCCACGAGGTTCTGCAACCGGGGCGGGTTTCACCAGGGTTCCAGCAGGGTTCCACCAACTGCTGCGGGGTGGTTACCACCATGGTTCCACGAGGTTCTGCAAGGGCTGCGGGGTGGTCCGGGGCGGGTTCCACCAGAATTCCACCAGCCTTTTAGCAGGGTTCCACCAAGGTTTTACCAGGGTTCCACGAAGTTCTGCAAGGGCTGTGGGGTGGTCCGGGGCGGGTTCCACCAGGGTTGCACCAGGGGTTCCACCAGCGTTCTGCAAGGGCTGCGGGGGTGCCCCGGGGCAGTCCTGAAGTAAGGCTCCACGAGTTCCACCAGGGTTCCACCAGGGTTCCACAAGGTTCTGCAACCGGGGCGGGTTCCACCAAGGTTCCACCAGGGTTCCACCAACGGCTGGGGCAGTCCTGAAGTAAGGTTCCACGAGGATTCCACCAACCAGGGTTCCACGAGGTTTCTACCAGGGTTCCACGAGGTTCTGCAAGGGGGATTCCACCAGGTTTCCACACGAGGGTTGCATCAGGGCTGCACCTGAGTTCCACCAACGTTCCACCAGGGTTCCACCAAATTTCCGCCAGGTTCTGCGAGGGCTAAGAGGGTTACCAGCGAGGGATTGCTCATGGGCGGAACACTAAGCAAAACCGAAAGTCAATGGTTTGAGCACACTTTCACTGTACACCAGGGTTGTAGCAGGGTTCCACCAGGGTTCCACCAGGGTTCCACGAAGTTCCACAAGGAGACCTCGTAACCCAAAGCCCACCGGGCCACATTGTCTGATTCTGTGAGCAAGTGTAGAGAGTGAAAGTGTGCTGAAAACCATTGGTTTTAGGTTTGGCTGGTGGAAGCCGAGGGCTGCGGGCACAGAGTTCCACAAGATTTCCACACGAGCAGCGTTTGGAGATTCCCAGGTCAGGCCCCGATTGGGCCGGCACTGTCGGCCCGATCGGGGACGATCGGGGCCCGTGCCTTAACAGCTAAAGCGACATCCTACGCACCGGCTGTGCGCTCCCCAGCCTTCGATTGCAGCGTCGGGCCCCGACGGCGCCGTCGGGCCCCGATCGGGCCCCGACGGCGCAATCGGGCCCCGATCGGGCCGGCACCGTCGGCCCCGATCAGGCCCCGACGGCGCCGTGGCCCCGATCGGCAATCGGGCCCCGATCGGGCCGGCACCGTCGGCCCCGATCAAGAACGATCGGGGCCCGATGGCTGCATGTGCCTTAACAGCTAAAGCGACATCCTAAGCACTGGCTGTGCGCTCCCCAGGCTTCGATTGCAGCGTCGGGCCCCGACGGCGCCGTCGGGCCCCGATCGGGGCCCGACGGCGCAATCGGGCCGGGCCGGCACCGTCGGCCCCGATCAGGGACGGTCTCAACAGCTAAAGCGACATCCTATAAGCACCGGCTGCGAGCTCCCCAGGCTTCGATTGCAGCGTCGGGCCCCGATCGGGGCCCGACGGCGCAATCGGGCCCCGATCGGGCCGGCACCTTTGGCCTTAACAGCTAAAGCGACATCCTAAGCACCGGCTGTGCGCTCCCCAGGCTTCGATTGCAGCGTCGGGCCCCGACGGCGCCGTCGGGCCCCGAGCAATCGGGCCCCGATCGGGCCGGCACCGTCGGCCCCGATCAGGGACGATCACGGCCCGATGGCTGCATGTGCAGCTAGAGCAACATCCTAAGCAAAACCGGCTGTGCACTATGATCGGCGGCTTGGATTGGTGGTTTGCTCCCCACCTATTTCAGGACATGTTTCTATGGCCCTTCACTGTGCCGGAAGAGTCTCCAGTTCATGCGGCTGACAGCGATGGGGTCTCTGCCCAGATGGGCTCTGGGGTGGTTGGGGCGGCTCTAGGAAGTTTCCACAAGAATTCTGCGAGAGTTCTGCAAAAAGCTCACAGGGCGGGGTTCTTGAGGGTGTGGTGCTGTTGGGGATATCACCAGAGTTATTTTTTTGAGAGGCCCGGTACCTTTTTTTTCAGTGGGAGGCCAACAGGGACATCAAATCAGCTTTTTTAGGGTGACACATACCCTAGGCTTATTGAGTTCTTGCTTAATACCGCAATGGGCTGATATGTCTTTTGGGCAGGAACATTCAGTGGCAACCAACCAGCTTAAAGTTGGACTTTATTTGCTCAATCAACACACGAAGTGAGGTTTTGGAAATTGGGTGTTTAGGCGTTCAGTGGTACCTGAAAGGGGAGGGAGCTCCCAAAAATATCTAACCACCAGGCTAACTAGCGGTTAGCTTGCTGTGATACCAAGAGAATTTTGGAGTTGTGTGCCCAGAGGTGCTTCGGATCGCCTCTAAAATGGCTCCAGTGCATGGTTGTTGTTGGGAAACATTTTACATTTTTGCTCATTGTGGTTTAGTGGGAAATCCCCCACTTAATTGCTAAAATTTAATTTTGCTCCCGGTCCAACTCAACCAAGAGTGACCAGTGACCCATCAGGGGGTTGATTCATCCAGCACCGGTCGAGGCTGCCTGGCCGGCCGCTTTCTGGATCTTGGGCTCCATGCGCGAGGTGCGTTTGCCTGACGTGGTGAGCTATAGCGCCGGCATCAGCGCTGACGCTTGGGCTTAAGAACATGCGCCATGGTAGCGTTGACCTCCCCACTAAAGCGAATCTATCTTAAGAACCTGTTGGTCCGATTTTTGGTTGAGGTTCCAAAGGGAAGGTTAACCTTGATGCCCTCGTCTTTTGGGCAAGGCGAGATTCTGAGAGAGTTTCCGTGAAACCGCTCAAGTGGGATTCCCCATGGAAAACGGGAGCATGCCCCAGGGGAAATCCGCATAAACCCCTTATGTATTATCTAGATCCTGCTTGATACCCTATGTACCTTGGTGTATTGTGATTTAAAATAAGCAGTGTCTCAGGGGTATACTCCCTCCCCTAAGTGAGATAGCTGCAGCCGTAGGAATTCCAACGCAATATATGCTTCTGCCGCACAGCTGCAGGAGTTGGAAGAGCACGTGCGGCTTCTTCCAATTCAGTTGTTATGTTTTTCCTTAAGAGCCCCCACCCTTCTTACCCGTCTTGGTTTTGCAATCTACAACAAGCCCTGTTGTTTCTGGGCAAAGGGACTAGAAGAATGATGTGTGTGTGTGTGTGGGTTACCTCTAGGCGTTACTACGTCATGCTTGCTCGTTTGCAGTGATCAAACAAGGGGCCAGCACATGGGGTTGAGTCTCCACTTGTTCAGTCCCTCGATGTTGCGCTGTGCGTTTTCCTGTGCCGACTGCGCAGGCAGGTGCTTTGCGTTTCTCATGCATGTGCTGACTAGAGGACTGTTTTATAGATACATGCATGTGTATGTGTCTTTATTTAGTTATGTATGTTTTTGTATGTTTATTATATTTTGTTTTTATTTGATATAAATATGAATATATATATATATATATTCTATGTATGCACGTATAGGCATATGGCTGACAACGGCGGGGCGAGCGCCCCGCCTTTCCACGGCAGTCCGCTTTTTGTCGGCGGTCCTGGCACCCAGCACCCGTAAGCCTAAGCTCAAACCACAACACTTGAGGTTAGAGATTGGCAGTTGGCCATCGGTGTGTAGAAATTCGATATATTTTTTTGGTCGACCTCCCTTGCTTTTCTTCATCAGATCGCCCAGATTCAGTATTGCACTGAGTTGTCTGGGGGAGAGCGAAGGCAGTGATTTCGAGGCTGGTACTCAAGCAGCCCAGAGGAATTCGTTTTCGAACAGCATGTGGCGCGGATTGATCCTCTCAGCCGTGTGGAAGAAGAAGACCTCCCTTGCAATTGGCAATCGGTGCCCGGTTCGGAGGGCGGGGGGTTGTTTTTTGACTGCTATTGGGTTGGATCTTTAGGCTTTAACTTCTTGGTTGAAATATGTCGGTGTTTGCCAGTAAACCCCAAGAAAGTTCTCAACTTTTTGCAGAGAAGTCCTTGCAGCACCAAGCGCAGGACGCATCCCATCCCAGGAGGCCGGGTAAACCTCAGCAAGCCCCGAGTCCATTTTGACCGCATACTGAAGTATCCCACGTATCGATTGGTTCAGCCCAGTAGAATCCGTTCCTTTGGCTCAGGCAGAAGCATGGCCGCAAGCGCTACGTTTGCTCAAAGAGATGCGGAGAGAAGCGCTCCGCGGCAGTGTGTGGAGCACCTCGCCACGGAGACGAGAACGACTGGGTAGCGTTGATTCAGGTTGCAACTGGTTGAGAAACATAGTGGGGCGCTCTACAAACTATATATTAAATAGCATATGTTTGGCGACATTTCACAAAGGCGGTAATTATTTGGGACCCTACAGAAGTTTATTTAGTTTGCCTGACGCAGTATTCCACACCCAGCTGCAGGTTGGCTTGAGAAATATTCCCTCCCATCAGAGGGGTGCTTGAGGAAAATGGCCTTACACCGGCGCAGAGGCAACAATTCTGAGAAGGCGCGTTCGCCCAACTTAACGGTGGATTGCTCATTGGGAATCCGCTGGAAGCCAGCTGAGGGGGAGCAAAATTGCAAAGCACCTGCAACAGCTCATTCCGTTTGGTTTCCCCTCAACAAGACACGCCCTTGCCTTTCGCGTGCTTTTCCCCAAGCAAGAACAACTAGGCCCCCTACTAAAATAGACTACAGAAAAAAAAAGGATACCCTTATTCCAACCTCTCTACTGGAGGACCTAGACAACCAGGACATGGCTTTAGCTGTCGCTCAGGTTTCAGCAGCAGCATCAACTGCTGCGCCGAGACTTTGGCTTGGCCAAACGCCTTGGACCTGCTGTTTGCCATGCGCGCGACCCAGGCGACACCTGCCTTATCCAGCTCTGCCAGCCCAAAAGATGTTGTGTTTTTTGGTTGAGGGTACCCTTGTTTCGTGGCTTCAAAGGAAGGCTGAAGGAAAACCACCATTTGGGGGGTCTAACAAAAATGCACAGAAGCTTGAGGGCCTTCCTCACGCCCGTTGCGATGGGCAAATTCCAGCCTCGCTTTTCGCCCGCAAAACGAACAGCCCTCCATGGTCGACATGCACCCCTTTTTATGAATTCCCCAGTTTATGAAGCCCTAGAAAGATACAATGTACACTGGCAATGGTCTCACAAGCGTCCTTCATAACAAGTCACCTTTTGCAGATTCATGGGCTCGGAGGGGCATGCTTTTCTCAATGCCACCGTACTGTTGCTTCGGGTGATTATTCTATTTGGTTTGAATGGGACATGGTCTATGAACTGTATTGTGGATTCACCTTGATTGCAAGGGAAGTATCAAAGACGTAGCATACATACAATGGTGCGCCCGACAGAATACTCCCGATAAAGTGACCTGCCCACATGCTTTTCCAGTCTGGAGTGGGAATTACTTGGCACAAGCAATCTTGACAAGAGTGTGAATATTGTAAACTCAACTGTCTATCAACTCTTGTCAAGGACAAATGGCAGTGATGCTCTGTATCACCCAACTAAAAGAATCACCCAACTGTATCAAAAGGCGGTGACTCTTTTAGTTTCTGAAGGACAAAGCAGCTCCCTCAACAGGCGGAGTGTGTCGTGTGCCCTCGCGTTTCTCCACTGGCCCACACCTCTGGCTTGCTCCGATTTGGATGAAGTCCCTGTTTCTATGACCGGGCTCCTTAAAAGAAATTCATTTTGCCACCATTTGAAACATGTGGCTTTTTCAACAGCAACATAAAGGTTGAAACCACCATTTACAAGTTGCAATGTTCAGGTGGTTTTCATGTAAGGATCCCTGCATGACCGTCAGAAATTCAGCACGCATGAATGATCATGCAATGTGGCCATGTCATTGACCGAGATGGGGCAGGTCGGCCGAATTTGGCAATCTCTCCCATCACAGCATTCGACTTAAGCGAGCGGGCCCATGTGGCTTTCAATCACTGTCACAGATGTGCGTTTGTTCTCATGTCATGGTGCATTTTTGCTCTCTCCGTGCAGGCTCAGAAAGGCATTTCTGTTGTGCCTGCGCGTGAGTTATTTGCGATTCCATCTCTCGCATGGATGTCCGCTAAGAAGAGCTTCGCAGCATTTACGTCTCAGTAGTCAGGAGTTTGTTTCGCGCAGATTGGAGGTTGCCACGCGCCTTATCAACTGAAGTGTGGCAGTCTCTGTATGCAAAGTCAGGCACACTGCATCCAGCTGTCACGTCTTGCTTCGGGATTGAACGAAACCCATGTGAAGCTTAGGTGTTGTTGACACTGCCCGAAACAATCGCTGTCGCTGCGATCGGAGAACTCGGTCTTGGGCTCCTTCGAGAGATGGAGACGACTCTGCTTACCGCTCAAAAGATGTCGTGCCCGCTGCTGCTTTCTATCATTCTCCTGGAGACGCTCACCGTGCTGCACGTGCTCGCCATCTTAGTGCGCGCTCTCCGGACCAGGCAAGCGAGGGTTTTGCTTGTAAAATGAAAATGGAGGAACATGTACAAGAGGTCAGCCAATCTTCAGGAGGTTAGCATACCACTATCTATTTTGACATCCTCTAGGAGATGTGGGGAGACTCAGGAGTCCCTCAGCTGCTCTTACTCTTCATGTGACATTTCACTTTCTGAAAGAAAAGACGGTTTCTTGACCATGAGGCAACAAGTGAACTGTTTTGCAGGGAAGTGCAGTTATTCAGAAATTGTTGCAGGTTGTCTATTGTTGCAAGCGCCTCCACCTGAATTTGACACGAACTCACCAGCCCAAAATACCAAGGGTCAAACTACAAGCCTGATGTGCCGAGGAGGAGGCTACTTCACTGCTTCCTCTTTGCGGTGTACGCATCAGCTTTTCCCCAAGTATCGGATTCCCATCGAATTGTAACCCAGGCAAGGCAAACCGGACTCCCGAACACGCCTCAGCTTATGCGTCAGATAGTTTGACTCTCCACACACCTCCACACACTCAAGGAGGAAAGCATGCACGATTGCCAAAGATCAAGCGCCCGTTTTGCACACTTGTGACCGGTGTCATTGTGTGCCTGGCGCCTTTAAGATTTCAGGCGGGGGCCACAAAAGCGTCTCGAACTTACGCGTCCAGCGGATATACCGAGGATTTCTCAACCAGACCGAAAACGAGGTACCATGGTGCCCTAGGATGCGCATTAGGACCACCAAGTTCAAAGCGTGACATGTTGCAGGCGGCCGGCATGTCCACAAGCTGATTCTTGCCCTTCAGCAGGGCCACGTGCAAGAAGACCTTCCCTTTCAGGTTCGAGCAAACTGGAATTCAACTCCCTGCGACCAATGAGCACCAATCAGTCGGGGGAATGATAGAGACAGGTGGCAGAGTTTGTCCCAGATACGGCATATATTTCGTGCACTCAGCCCAAGTGGTTCATGCCATGGAACATGGCCTCCCCCGAGTTTGGTCCACATTCTTACCTCAGTTTCTGGACTTCAAAACTTGTGAGGAAGACTGCAACCAGTTTCATGTGCCAAATGGCCACAAAGTGAGCGAGATTTCCCGGATGTTCAAGTGATTTGTGCCCTTTGGCTCATGAGGCACTGGGAAGCCTGCATCCCCAAACCCCTTCCCAGAGGCAGGCGGGGGATAGCGTCTTGAATTGGGGTCGTTTGCCATAGCAGGAGTCATGCCCATGTTTGTTTTTCTTTTTGTTTCAATTGTTTTTTTTCCGGGTGTTAGCGATAGTCTCAAAACATCGATCCGTGTGAAGAGGATGTCTTCACAGCTTGCTACTGATGGACGAGATCAACCTTAAGTGCTGTGTATGTTACAACCATCCACATCTCGCTGTGTCTTTGCCAGGAAGGCTCCCAGCCTTTGGCAAGAGATCCGCAGCTTAGCTCGGCGCATGCAGGACGGAACCCGAGTGTCGGATTTGGGGTCGAGCTCTCGTCTCGCCATCCCGGATCCTTCCCCATACAGCTTCCTTCCTTGACTTCCATTTGCTGAAATGAATATGTTTGTCACGTTGGTTTCAAAGGGAATCTAGCACGACTGGACATATTTTTATTTTTTCCCGGAAAAACAAGAAGGCACATTGGAGGTGGATGGTTTGCCCGAGGCAGTGGCTTCATCTCGACGTAGGGTTTCTGCAGCACATGTCACCAAACCGACTTGTGGGTACCTGGAAAGCACGCACCCAAATCCATCTGAGACCAGCGTGGTGTGCTGTTGGTGTTTCTTGTGCTTTTGATGATTTGTGGAGGGAGCTGGAAAGCACAGTCAGGTTTCTTGAAATTGTACCAGTGGGTGGGAGGTCTGCCTGAACACAAGGGAAAGCGCGGGATCTAGTCCTTCACAACCAGCTGGATGAGTTCAACAAGTGGTCGCTGGCTTGCGGTTTTCACCCACGTGCGACCAGTTTTTAGCGGGTCCAGACCGGGATGCCCAGCTATGTTTTCCCCACGACCTGGTCAACATGTCACATGCAGAGGCTTCTGGTTCGCAGCTCCCATTATTGGACAGAAGGCCCAGGAGTGCGTGAGAGGAACCCCGAGAGAAGTGGTCTTCGCAATGATCTGCGAATTGTTGACCAGCATGGACATGCATTTTTCTGACCAGTGAGCCAAGAGGTATGAGCCAGACACTTGTACTTGTTACATTCTTGTGTGGCAGATCTGCCTACGGGGTATGGCTCAAATCAATTGCCATGTTTGGACATTCAAAGGCCTTGGCCTTGCATTTACGTTTCCGGGCCTTTTACAAAGGGCCAAGACTGAGGTGCTCCCTCTACAAGTTCCCCAGAACAAAATCACGCCAGGGTGTATCAATCCTGAATCTTCGGAGAACACCAAAACAGTCATAGAAATACCAAAGGTAGGAAAACCACATGTTGGCTCACACCAAATCTGAGAAAACCAAATCCACTTAGATCTCAGAAAGGTCATTTGGCCATGGAAAGAGCCCCAGCTCCCGGAGTCCGCAACCCGTCCAATCATGGTTGTTGTTGGGAAACATTTTACATGTTTGCTTCTTGTGGTTTAGTGGTTGAGAAATCCCCACTTAACTGCTGAAACCTTTAATTTGTTGCTCCCCTTCCAACGCCAACCAAGCAATCGCCGATTCGATGGATCTGCAGGCGTCCCCTGAGCCTCGAGTGCTGCAGAGCTTCCACTCGACGCTATGCAAGCTGCTGGTGGCAGGTTCTCAGGCCATCGGAGGTCCCACCCCAAGGGACCCCAAGAGGTCTCACGAAAGGGGTCCTTGAAAGATGGTCCCCCAGTAGTGCCCTTTTACCCTTTTTGAGGGAGGGTTCCCCCACTAAAATAGACTACAGAAAAAAAAGTTGGTACCCTTATTGTAGCCTCTCTACTGAAGGACCTAGGTTGGGTTCTTTGCCAAGCTGGAAGTGTGTGCCTAGTTCAAAGGTTGTTTTTTTTGTCACGCGGAAGTTCTTAGAAGTTAAAACTTGTACTCCATGTGACTGAAACGGGACTCTGAAGCTTGGTGTAATCCAGAAGCAATGAACACTTAAAGCAAGCTCTTGACTGCGTGGACAGGTGAAAACACTCTCCAGTCCAGGGGGTGGATTAGTAAGTTAGAAGTTGGCTGGAGCACGGTTTACAGACTCTGTGATCGTAAAATGTTGAGGTTTGTGACCACAGGCGTAGTACGGCGTAAGCATTCTGTTGGGTACGCTTTGGATGCCAGACAAGCTAAATCGAAGCCATCAGTGGATGACCATCCACACCATACAACGTCTAACGTGTGTGTGTGTGTGTGGCTACAATGGCACATAGCTTGCCGGCCCCAATCACCCCATGTATACACGTGGGCGCGCAACGTTTACCGGTTGCCACTGATTCGAGCGCACCACGGCCTTGAACCAAAGGAGTTGGGACCAC